TAATGCTCTCGTACACATTTCGCTTCACTGTCATCTTATCCGCCAGGAGTAACATCAACGTTGAAAAGCTCAGAAGCACCCTAGCTAAGGCTTCTGGAGTGTATCAACTTTTAAGCAGTGTATTGTACAGGTGTGTAGAAAATGAGAGTTTACTAAGGCTTTGCAAGTCCAGTTTATTAGGCGGACCCTTTGTGTTAATGACTCGGCTTTAAATCTCAAAATGCCGAATTTATGGCCAACATTTTTTTGTCTACGAATAGAAAAGAAATATTCTCTCACATAGAATGTTAAAGAATTTTTCAAGCAAGCCATTTGCTTGCTTATCCAGTAGCCGGTTTATATAAGTGCACATACCCGCAACTTCTTTTCAGCTATATCCGAATATCTGACGGTAAGTGTTCATCGGAACCGATTTTGCTAAAGAGTTAATAGATTTTATTGTTCGGAAGAAGACAATACTTTGGTAGCCAGCGCCACAGAGAAAAATAGCTCTCTGGTTAAGTCCGTCTGTGAGCCAGCGCCTTGCTCTGGGTCCCCAGATGTGTACCAGAACTTGAGTATGCGTCTTGATTGGTCTGTGTAAAAAGTTATTGTTCGATTGGCCAATCAGGTTAAAGATAAAATTTTTAAAGTACTTCCGGTAACATTGTTTCTACATCTAAATGTTTTTCAGCCAGTGGGAATAGATAGTGGGGACGGCGCATCGAAAAGTAAGAAAAATGATCAGCAAAAAAACTGCACCACCCTTCACTATCTGAACGCCAGGAAGAGTCTAAAGATTCCTCAAACCAAGTGTTTTTGATAGGACGTCTAACTAAGGCCTTTAATGCGTCTGCCTCGTTTTCCGTATATATAATTTATAAATTAGACGTCTAAGACTTTTTAAGACGATCTCTGTTCTAATTATTTCAATGTGTATAAAAGTGAACATGATGTAGAATGAACAACCTAAGCGGTTGAAAAAGAACCTAAAAAATTCACGCTTGAGCAGGAATCCAACCCTGACCTTTGGGATGACAGGGCGCAACGCTCTATCCATTGAGCTAATCAGAGAAAGAACGTTGCGTCCCGTCATCGCAAAAGTCAGGGTTCGATTCCAGCTCAAACCTGAATTTTTTTAGGTTCTTTTCCAACCTTGTTTGTTGTTTTTTGTTATATTGCACGCCTAAACTGATTGCTGTCAAATTTTCACCAACGGTAGTTTGCTTCTTGGAAACGAAATGTTCGTCTGTAACATTTTTTTTCGCAAAGAAGCTCTTAACTGGATAAAGTCCAACTTAACATTCAGACGTTTTGGCAAATAGGGCCAATGATAACTCGACATCACTTCAATAATCAATAACCTACTTGGAAACGTTTCTTCTAGGGGACAGTTGCGACGTTTTGTCAACAAACTTTTCATGATGAGACCATCAGTGGTAGTCCCGTCTACGATCGCCATTTTTGGTCTTCTCTGGTAAGTCTGGCATATCTGGAGTTAGCCAGCAAAAACAGCCGTTTCTCCTCGCCGATTGGAACGTTTTGCCATGAGGGACGTCTGCGCCTCAGCGACAGAAATTCCACACTGATGACGTAAAATCTGTTGGGAATATCGTCAGAAGCACTAACTGGTCGACGTAGTAGTTATATTGTTTTCGCTATTGTTTACGAACGACAGACAAAAGACAAAAGGCCACAAAGGTCAAATGTAAACGCATTGAATCTACTACAAAACAATCAATATTCGTTGTATATATTCTTCTTTGAAGAAGCATTTGAGTTTTGCTATAGCTCGTTCGCAGAAGGCCACAAAACTTTACCATAATCGAACAGGAGAAATCGAACAAATTTACATTTGGAAACCCATGACTATAAGATTAAGTATGTAAACATTGATTTACATAGTCAGCGTTGAATTTCTGTCGCTGAAGCGCGGACGTCCCTCCTGGTGAAACCTCTCAAGCGGCGAGGAGCGAGTAGAGACGACTGTTTTCGCAGGATAATCTGGATTGGGAAACATGAAACTGGCTGCTCTCGTGGCTGCTCTCCTAACCATCAAACGTCAACTTTTTTTTAGGATGGGGAAGATCTCCATAGGAAAGTTGTCTGGGAAACGCAAGCACGAGTGGAAGCAAGCAAAGCAAATCCATCAAACAGGTGAAGTGTCCAGGAATTTGTGTCACTTATAATTTAGAGCCGGTACAGTTGTAGCCTGCGAGCAAGCTCTAGAATTTGAGCGAGCGAAGCAAGCGGCGCGAGAACGCGCGAGCGAGCGGCAAACACGCAAGGGGCCGAGGAAAGGAGCCTCCTTTCTCTCCTCCGCCCCCCGCTTTCGCGTGCCTCTCGCGCGTCCACTTTTCACGATATCCTCAAATGAAGAGCTTGCTCGCTGGCTAGCGCAGTTGGTAAGACACCGCTCTGTCTACAGACGGACCAGGGACGGAACACCAAGGGGTCTTGCAGTACGAAGAACTCAACCGGGGTTAATTTTTAGTGATGTCAGGTTGGTACGGTTGAGCTCGTTGCACTGCGAAACGATAACACTTAGAATGCCATGCATGTTCTACGCACAGGCTACTTCTCGAGCGATTTTGCTGCGATTTCGTGGCGATATTATGGCGATTCCGTTCTGATTTTATCTGTTGCGACTTCCAATCTTTATGTAGTAATTTATTAACTTGAGTTGCATCTGACGTGAACAATATTCATCAGGGTAGGTTTTGGGAAGACCACGAAGAAGTATAATAAACCTATGAATCGCGCGGAAATCCGAGTAAGTTCAAATTATCGGTGGTGCGACAAATCACCGCTTACAACTGCGAATTGTCTCCTACATTGACTCTTACGCCTTCTAAAAGGAACAAAGGGGATGCAATCTGCGTAATCTCCGGTGAAAGGGTACGGCATAACTGGGTAACGCTGTTGTAGTGTCACTGTCGAAAGCGTCAGCAGAAAATCTTAACTCCAGGGGTGAAACTGAGGAACGTACAGCATGAGTTAAACATTTTTCTACGTTCTTCTAGGACCCGATTATCTGACTGTGACAGATCAAGGCTTTCATGAAATCACCAATGTGAAGAATCCTGGAGGAGCCTTGACACAAGCAGTTGGAGATGGAGAAAACGATGACACCTCTGCTATCCAAGCCATCCTCGACCAAGCAGCAAGTTCCACTCATAACAAGGTTTTCTTTCCTCCTGGCGAATACTTGATCAGCCGAGACATTGTCATACAAAACTCTGTGGAACTCCACGGAACAGAGATCGGTATTGCCGTCATCAAGGCGTCGACTCCTAATGCCAGGAAATTGTACAATGCTTTACCGGTACAATCGGTCATATTGAAGAATTTGTACCTCGACGGAATTCGTGTGAATTTTGATGGTGGGAACAATGCTAGGCCTACAAAGAATATCACAGTTTTAAATTGTGTATTCTTTTCTACGGTGAGTCCTAGCGCCAACAACTCAAACGATGGGCAATTGACCTTCAGGCGTCTTAGAGACGGTACAGTGGACAAATGCATCTTCTTACGCGGCCCGGATGCATTCGGTGTGGCCTCCAAATTCTTTCGAACAAAACGTGTTCAAATTCGCAACAACGTTTTTGGCCTTGATTTGAGCAAGGTAGACTGGCTGTCAACCGAACTTGAGCCAGAGCAACACTGGACTGAAAAAAAACAAAAACTTCAATTCCTTCAGACTAGCTATAATCTTGCAGATGACCAAGGCTTCTTTAAATGCTGTCTTTATGACGCTTACGATGAAGAAATGCGTATAAGTCAAAATGTTTTCAACGGAAGTCCCAACACTGGCTCTCTTCACAAAGACCACGCGATGTATCTCAAAGGATTCGACGGGGTGGAAGTTGCTGCTAACTATGTCCGAGGTTGGCCAGCTGATCCCTCAGGAGGCATCAAAGCGCGAAATGGCAAAAACCTTATCATTGCCCGCAATTATATCGATGACACGGGTATTCTGCTATACACTCACGATCCACACGACACGAGTCTCCACCATGGACTGGAGAACGTTGTAAACTACGGGAATCACATTGTACAACGAAGCCACCCCGGGCATCGTGCAAGCGGCATAAGCTACTACGAGCGCCATTTTACTGGTACGGATAAGAACCTCACGTACTCTGCTAATCAGTTTGAGATCGTTGACGTGAGTGACCCGACTAGTTATACATGTATCTGGCTGACCAATGGTGACCTGTCTCATCATCACGTGTACAAAGACAACGTGTATTACGGCACAACGACTACAGTGAAGTTGCAAGCTCGCCATGAAACTCCATCGTTTGAGACAGGAAACATCGATGTTTCTTTTCCATCTCGCTACAGTTATCCTGTCTATGAGTTGAATATTCCAACTTATTAGTTCACGGGATGCTTTCAACCGCTGGAACGGACGTTCTCTTTGCTCGTCATGCTGTTCGTGATGATTGCGTCACGACCAAAAAGGGTTTTTATCGGGTACTGTTGGTTTATTTTTTCACTCCTTTTTCCAATCTCTCAAATTTCACTTTCCTTCCGTTTAACCCTTAAAACCCTAACACCAAAATTCAAATTCTCATTTGTTATCCCTATACGTTTTCAATAGACGTAGTGGGGAGAATTTGTTGGAGTATCAATTAGATTCATCTTCTGTGATCATGTCCTCAATTCTCATGAACAATCTTTTACAAAGCAGTGATATTATTTACAAGGAGAAATTTGATGCTGATCACTCTTAGGGCTTAAAGGGTTAAAGTTTTATAACTGACGGTTTATTGTGCAAAAGAAAAAGGTCGACACGTTGATCAGATATTGACACAGTTTCCAATTTTGTAGTTACTAATAAAATAAGAGGGAAACACAGGAAGCAAAAAAAATGATAGTCAATTCAAAGCTTTACTTAATGTTTGATTCGTATCAAGACAGGGATAGGTGTGTTTTATACGGTTTGATGTTAATCATTTTGAAAGCTTTACACTTGGAGTCAACTACTTTCTGGAAAAGTAAAGAATGACAAAAACAGGTGATAAGACTCGGAGGGGGTTTATTATTGAATAAATATACAGATAAAAGAGTTGAGTACATTTTTTTGCTGTACGGGATCGGAAATTCCACCCTCCCTTCAAAATTGTATACTAAAAGCTTTTCCGCCGCAACGCTATAATAGAACAGTCAGGTTTCAGAAATCGCTCTACGGATAAAATACATTTAAACGGTTTAAGGGGAAACAGAGACAATTTACATTCGTTATAAAACACGTCACAGTTATTTCCTCTCTCATGCAAGAAAGCCTACTTGCAAATTTCAGCCGTTGCGTTCAAAAAAGATCAGTTTTTCCTACAGCAATATTCGGTTCATTGACTAGCCTGCGTAGCTGGCGGGATTAGCGTGGGAGTGCTGTTTTGGCGGCCGAGCCGCGAGAAGTCCATTTGGGATTTACCCGGGCACAAGAATCCCGCCAGCTACGCAGGCTATAGATTGACAACTGTGACACCTTCCTGAGTTGAGGTTTTAAGAAATGGCTCCGCCATTAAACTAGGAATTTTGTTGCCCCCAGGATTCTCCACCCTTACCATTTTTATTTATTTACTTCAGGGGTCTTATATTAACTTTGCAGCACATTTAGAGCCTTGTACATTACTTTAACCGGCTGTTTTCATGGATAACAACCACAAAACAGGTAAAAGTCCTGAAAAGTTATCATATGCTATTTACCGTCACCAGAAATCAATCACGCCGTGGATTCCGGATTCCAGATCCTTGTCGGTGAAACTTGGATTTCGCATTCCAAAGCCGGGATTCTGGATTTTATCAGCAAAATTTTCCAGGATTCTGGAATCCGAATTCCTTTACATGAGGCGAGAGACTATTGACAGCCCATTACGGCTAAATGCACAATAATACTTCCGCTTTTTCAGATGAACTGAATGTACGCTTCAATTCAAGTGAAGTACTGAGAACTTACATAATGAATTCGGAACAAGTGTACACCGATTGACATTACGTTTCCACTAACTTCACCAAGTTTACAGTGCTAAATACCAAGCGTAAACTGATACAATGTGGCACCATTTGAGGCCACATCTACAGGAACTGAAACCAAACCTAACCAACTGACATAAAATTTTAGATCTCTTTTCTATCCGCGAAGCAACGTACCTCGATTAAAATCACTTTCTGCGGCTCTCTACCGCCTCTCCACAATCAACAGTCAAATTAGGTTGCATCCACACTTGGTGCCCGGGCAAGGTGGCCGAGAACGGTGCTCAATGGGCGCTAAAGTAAACACACCGGTTCCGGTGCCCAGCGTACAAGGTTTACATCGTCGGGCACTCATGAGGGCGCCGGGTTCCAGGATCCCCACCGCTTTTGGGGCAATTCACTACTTTGCACTCCCTGCAACGCTCACGTTTCAAAATGGAGTCTGACAGGATGAGACGAGGCGAATATGTACACAGTTACACATGAGTATCCAGTGTGTGAACACAACCCCATTTTGTCCTGGTACTCAGACACTAATGCTGGGGCACCAAGTATAAAAGCGCTTTAGGGAGCGTTCAGACCACGTGGCTGAGCACGGTGCCGGGTACTAATGTGAACACACACTTTTTTCAGTATCCTCGCTAGAATTTGGGCACGGTGTCGGAAACTAAGACTCGGGCCCAAAAGAGGTAAGCCGGCGTCTGACAGGGCAAAATGGAGAACCTATGTACACAGTCACATATCGGGTACTCAAGTTGTGAACACGACACCATTTTGTGCCGGTACCCAGGCAATTGTTCCCGGGCACCAAGTGTGGACAACCCCTTAGCTACCTCAACTGTCTAACAAAAGATTGAGTCATAAAAAGGTCAGATGAAAAGTAAAATCAAAACATACCGTATACGAGCAATTGGCTTTCAACCACGTGGAAGACTGCTTTATTCAGTTCGATATCCAGACAGCGAGAAGTAGGTTGCAGAAACGAGGTATGGGGAAATTCTTTCAACACTAACTTTGATTTTTTGAGTATGTATCTGGATGTCGGGTGAAACAGTCTCTTGAGAGCCTGATATATGTTCCACTAAATCTTGAACATATTCAAACAAAAAGTTCAAATACTTATAAAAGAATAAGGTGTTATCTTCAAAAAATAAAAAAAAGTAGAGACGACATGTAACGAATGCTTTAAAAAAATAACTGGAGTTACCACACAATATCGACTTTTAAAAATCAGAGGGAAGGTCAAGAATGATGCTACTTTCCATTATGAGATATTATAACCAGGGGGGGGCAGACCTCGTCTCTTCCCCCCCTGATTATAACACTGCAGCATCGTTTGTTTTTATAGTCTTTTCGTGACGTTTCTTCAAATTATTTTCAGTTGATGTGTAGTCTATTACAACCTTGAAGGGGAGTAAGGGACAAGGGAGGGAATTGGGGACAGAAGGAAAAAGACCTTACCTCCCTTCCCCTTTCGCGCTTTTCTCCCTCTTCCCCACCCCCTCCCCACCTCTTTTTGCGCCTGTCACGCAAGCTACCTCGATTCTAACTATGTCCAGGCTTCCCACAAACTTTTGGATCCAAAATTCAAGACTTTTGCCAGACTTTTTCCAAAACAATAATTTTTTTCCAGACTCAAGGTTATCAAATAGGTGATCAATAGACCTTTTTTTAAAAAAAAACACAGGAACAAAGCTTTTTTCACGATGCGCTGCAAACGTACGGGCGAGATTGAATAAGATTTAAGCAAAACGAAAAAAAAAATTCACTTGCACTTGCTGCAGCTTAAAAAAAACTCAAACTTTTTACCATTTTTCAAGACTTAAGCTCAATTTTCCAGACTCTTTCCAGGTCTGGATAATTGCTGGGCAAATTTGAAGATTTTTTCAAGAATTTTGGACTCTGTAGGGAACCCTGCCTTTGCGCATGGATCTAGCGACTAGAATTAAAAAGCAAGAACAATCCCGTAAAATCCACAAAAACAGCAATTACACATCAAGGTAAGATTATGAGGTGACCTATTTTAAAAACGTTAAGATCTGTAAAATGCTGGTACCATATTTCTAAGCTTCTTGTGCAGAACTTAAGTACGGCTCGGGGCTATGATAATCACTGAGAGCATTTACAGTCCTGGAGTCATGGGGCAGTTCAGATTTCCGCCGTACAAACTTTTTGTTTGCTGGTCTTTTTCCAGGCACATCCTAAAGAGAAGAACATCAAAAAGTCTTAACTTTAACAGAACAATGGAAAGAAAAAAACCTCCTAAAATACAACGCTTTGAATAGGTATGGGCCGGGCAGCAGGGATGGCGAAGTGGTGAGGGCATTTCACCCTCTACCAGTGTGGTCTGGATTTGAGTCTCGGCGTCGACGCCGACATCGTATGTGCGTCGGGTTTGTTGTTAGTTCTCGCCTTCGCCCCAAAAGCTTTTTCCCCAGGCCTGGTTTTCCCATCCCCTCGAACACCTTTTATTCCAAATTCTAATTCGATCTGAGCTCATCTGGAAGGTGTCTCCCATTAGAAGGTCACACGTTTATCAGTTCTTACTTTCGAGTGTCGTTTGTCCGGTTTGGTATTATAACGTTAGTTTGATCCCTCTACCACGGACTACCTATAATGCTTAGTGCTTTTTAAATAGCCTAAAACTGTTGCTGGGAGGCGAATTTACAGGACTGCTACAGCAAGCAAGAATAATCGCATTGGTAAAAGCAAAAAAAATAAATCAACTTCTGCGAAACATGGCGCGGAATAAAATGTATTAGCAAAGAATTTTTAGTTACCGAGTTCTGTACTCTTTGAAGATCCACGTTTCCTTCTTCAACTCCTTCCATGTCACTACATGTAAACTCCATTGAAGAGTCCAGCAATTTATTACTGTCTTCTCCCTGGGCCAATCGGGCAATCTTAACATACTGTGAAAATTGAATCAAACAAGTTAAAACTAACCCTTCGACGACTTTTTTAACTTTTGACTGGGACCAGTCAGCAAAAATAAGTTAACACGACTGGAAAGAACGCCTTAAAATCCGTGAAGTTGCCAAGTTTGAAAGGGATTGTTGAAAACTAATCAAGATATTTCTCCACAAAGTCGCCAAATTTTACAAATGTTCGTAAGGTGAGCGACACATTCAAGCCTCCACCATACAAATGTCTGTAAAATTTAGCGACTTGTGGGGGAGCAATATCTTCGCTCGCCTTAGTCGTATCGCCTTTAGAGTGATTTTGACCCGTGAAATAGGTAGTAGAATACTACGCACAATTATGCACTAACCTGGCACTAATTCCATTGTATTCTTTTGTTTTAATACCTCTTGCTATTTCAGGGCACTATTTGTTAGTATCTGTTTCACGGTTCAAGTAAAATCACTCTAACTTGAGAAGTTACTAATTTAAGGCGCACTTTCTCGTAGTGTTGATGGCTATTTGCTTACAGGTCTTTATTAAAACTTTTAAAAAAAAACGTTGAAGGGTCCATTGATTACGCAACTGCAATAATGCAGTTCTGCGAGTCAAAGGTGGTGGGGGAGGCGATCGAATGTTGCAGCCTATAAAAAAAAGGAAAGACTGTGAAAGGAAAGGGCGTGCTTCAAATAGCCTTTTACTAAGTGCGAGGGCTGTACAGGATAATAGGCTGGCCTGGCCTGGCCTTGCCTGGCTTTAATCAGAGGATATAGGGTTTTGGTATCTGCAGTTTATGTCACCAGGATATTGCTGTTTTAGGTCAATTCTGAACTGGAGTCATTACTTAGTACCTTAATTAATACACAAAATGCTCCTGAAGAGTTATGAAGAAGATACCAACCAAATTTCATCACCATAACAACTTTTTTAGTGATGTTTGCAGGGATAGAATGTAAACTTGACAAGGTTGGCCAAACTTTTACAAGTTTCAATCCATGTCGATCCTTCGCAACAGACGACAGGAAACATTTCAATGCCTAGATATAGTCTTAAATAACAAAACTGGACCATTATTTTTGGAATTCAATTGATGTGAAGACCCATTCTAGCGTTTTAAAAAGATTAACTGGAACGCGTCACATCACTTGCACGCGAGACACCTTTGAAAATAACCGGTATTAAACCTTAAAGAATTTTATAAGGAACTAAAATAATAGGAAAGTTCAACTCATTGTTCTACTCACATTCGGGTTTTTACGAGCTAGCTCATCTATCTTCATCCACGCCTCTTCCCTTTCTTTTAGCTTGTCTTTTTCCCTAAGGAACGTACCGAAGTTAGAACCAGCTCATACGCATTTAATGTTATGTGCATATCATAGGACGCTTAACAAAAGTCAGAAGTGGTCAGACCGGACATTTTAAAAATGAAGTAGGTTTTCTGGAAGATTTTTGGAAAAACCTGCTGTGTGTACTATACTGTCAAACCACACTAACACCGAGACTGTGGGGACATAAAAAGAGTCCGTATTAACGGAATGTCAGTATTAAGCAGGTTGAATTAAGAAAAAATGCAAGGGAGAAAGCAAACTTTCCGTAATCATGAGGTGTCCGCAAAGCGGGCTTTGACTGTATTTAGGAATAGACTGACCTGGCTGGATGGTCCTATGATTGGTAATAACCAAGGGTTACGAAATGCGGGCGACAACGATCGAAGGCCAAAACGCTTTTGCTCCATCGCTGTGCTTTGCCTAAGTTTCACGTGACAAATAGTCAAAATACGCGCGATCAGATTACGAGTGATAGAAACGCTCGTGATCAAATTTAGCTAGGTGCATTCCTTTCGTTCTTAGTGGAAGTCCACATACATGTGACGCATGCGTATTAAAAACCTGGAGATTAGGACTGCGGGCTCCTCTTGTCGCCTGCAATTAACCCCGCATTTCGCTTCTTGAATACCGCAAATCAGACGGCCAAAGGCTCGTACTATTTAAGACATTTTCAACCAAAGAACGCTACTTGATATTTTAATATGATCTATCCTGGCTGCAGCCCCGGTGTTTTTCCAGTCCTTATTAGCCATGGAATTCTCTTTATGGCTGACTATATTACCAACCGTCCACTATACCTTTGTCTTTCCTGTTTATATTTTTGAGAACACTCATCAAAAAGCTTTTGATTCATCTCCATGAAGAGCTTCAGTGCGTTATATATGAGACCATGAATTGTCCTAAAAGAATATAAATGTGTCAACTTATGTGTTAACTATCCCCTCGCCCCCTCCTCCACAGTTTTCTGTTTCGACCTGGGTTTAGCTTTTGCGCAGCTGTATATCTCTTACTTCAAGAACCACAAAAGAAAAAAAACGCCAGCTACCCAGGCTACACACAAACAAGACAAGTGTCCATATAAGGGAAACTTAGCAGGGTAACTTGCATTTACATCTCCTCAGCTATACGGGTACTAATCCAAGTGCAGCGAATACTTCAACAAGTTGAACAAACTTGCTCATAGTAACTGAAGACTGAAAGAGCGAAGGTTAGCCACCAAGTGGTAGAGAAATTAGGAATTTTAATTGATACTGAATACAAAAAGTGCAAATATAGGAAGACAGAGACCACAATGATGTTTTGACAGCCCACTTTACAGTTACAGGTGAAAACGAGGCTGGAGATGACCTTGTTTTGATACAACCCTTCCTGCTTTATTATGTAAATCATGTTGTTCTTTATGCTAACTAGTATTTTTTAAGAATAATTTCCGTAAGGAAAGGAAAGAGGTTCAGTGTATCAAAAGAGGGTCAACCTCAGCCTCATAAATTCAGTCAAAGGCTAGGATACAAAGCCCATAACTGTATTCACTGGCCTATTGTGTTCTATATATCGAGAGATGGGGCGACAAAACTTAGCAAAATGTGAATGCAGGTCAGTCAAGTAATAAAACAATTAAAATTAGAAAGAGGTACAGTTTTACTTACTTATTCCAGTGGTTTTTGGAATGTTTGTATAAAGACGGGAACATTATAGGTACAATGACTCCAGCATTGTCACTCATTAAACTCATCACGTACTCATTATTCCAGTAATACAAGGCACGTTCAGCAACCTGTCAATAAACCAAAAAAGTTGTTAGTGCATATTACGGCACATATTACAAGCTTTTGTTATCAATTCCTTATTGGGCCTTGAAAAAAATAATTAATAATAACACTTATTTGCTAGCCTGAAAAAACAGCCGACCTATCGCGTTTTCCACCACTGGTTTCCACCACTGGTTTCCACAGCGAAATGATAGAGAGCTTTCGATTCTGAGACAAGGACAACTACGACTACGAGATTTTCTCAATACTGAGTAGTGCTCGCGCGTGAGCCAACGTCATTTTGGCGGGAAAACGTGGTAGCCGTCGTCATTCTACTACGAGTTTTAGCGAGAATGTCGTAGTGGCAGGAACAACAGGGGCACCCAACGACAATTTTCGGAGAAATATCTGTTCGGAAGACGATTTGAGATCTAGAATTTTCGGAACATTTGTTGTAAAATTTCTTGCTTGCCTGCCTCTCCTAGGATTTTCGAACATCTAAAAAATGGTATAATTGCCTATTTTTAGCGGATTTTTACCCTAAAAAGGTCACCTATAATTTTCGGGAGCCTTTTTTCTGGCTGAAATTTTCGAAAAGGTAAGTTTTGATCCCTATAATTTTCGGATCACTAGACTTTCAGCTAGGAAATCCGAACAGATGAAAAATTTTTAGGGGATAAAAATATGCCTTTATCTACCGTTTAAATACTAAAATACGTTTAACAATGCTATGTTTAAGAGGTTTTGGACTATAATCTCGTTGGGTGCCCCTGGAACAAGTTCAATCATTTTGTGACCGGGAAAGGGCTAAATTGCCTCCAGTAAAAATAATCGCACTGACTTTTCAGGTGAAAAACAGTACAATGAAGGATTGAACATTTTTCGAGAATATGCGAAAGCACTTTAAGTTAAATCTCGTACTCGTAGTAGCCGTCCTCGTCCTCAAATATAAAGCCCTTTGATGTCTCAGAAACGAACGCAGAAATTCCTTAAAGAAGATGCAGATCTGGGTCGTGTTTCTGATTGGCTGAATCAATTTGTAGCCAATCAGATGCACTACCCACATCTGGGTAGTGACGCGTCATCGGTATGGAATTTTTGTACTCGTTTCTCAGACGTCATTACGCGGGGAAACCAATAGTGGTGTCGCAAAATGTCGGCTGTTTTCTCGGGCTACCTATTCGTTAAAATTCACTGAAAAACTTCTTTGTAGTTTCACTCACTAAAGTTAACTAACATAGCTAATTTTCTTATGGAGAAAATGACACATCACCAAAAAACATTCTTCCCACAGTCCAGATATTGCTTTTGAAAATGTTTCACTTCAGGCCCGGGTTGCTCGAAGCATGGTTAGTGCTAACCAGCGTTAAATACCATGGAAACCTATTTATTTTGATACCTCTTAACCAACGGTTAGCGCTAACAAGGCTTCGAGCAACCGGCCCCTGGTTAATATTTTAATCACTTAAAAGATATAAACATTTTCCTCAATGTTAGCACTGTTACATCTATTTAAATAACCTACTTGAAAGTGTGGGCTGGAAATACATTTTGCCAGTTGTCGGAAAAGTGGCTCCAAGACTTTGGTGAATTCTGATGGCTCGATGACGTCAAGAATTTCTTCAAGCTCATTGAGGAACATCACCTGGAAATAAGTAATCCAAAAAATACTCTTTCAAGATGGAATTTTAGAATCTCTTAAGCATGTCAGTCACATTCAAATATCCTGTAAGGGAACGAACTTCAGGATCTAGAACATTAATTCAGCTTCACTAGAGACCTAGAGACTTCAGGCTTTGTAATGTGGAAGGGGCCACAGGCTTCGAACTTTGAGGTTATTCAGTGAAATGCAAGACACCAGTGAATGGAAGTTTTTCATTCAGAAAAAGTGACTTCTGATTCAGTGCAATATTCACCCTCTGAATTTCCTGGGGTTTAATTGGGAAACAGACGGAAAAGCAGACAGTACATTAAAGAGATACTCAAAGCCTGAATCCATGTGCCCCCTCAATCAACTGGAGACAGCCCTGGAAATGACCTGTTTCTCGGCTCTTGCTGTCAGACTAATAAAACCATGAACACCTGAAATATTTTTGGAATGTTCATCGTGTTACGACTATACATTGAAGATCAGGGCATGCGAGCAGGCCACAAAGCCATAACCATTGCTGCTCGCAGTTTAGTATTCCCACACCTGATTGGCTGAGCCTCCCTTGCAGCACAGTAACATTCAAGATATATTTCTGGTGCTCACAGTTTATGGAGTTTCTCAGTAACTTTATCCTCTTGATACAGAGAGCTACTTTTTCATTGGCATGTTGCATTTTGTACTGCCATTAAAGATGTGAACTCTCCAACTTGAGCTCAGCCACCTCCTAGTAACATTCATTCAGGATACAAAAACACTCACCTCTTTTGGGCTGTGAACTTTAGGCCAGAATTTCATAAGTGACACGATCACCTTAACAAATAAAAGTAATATAATATAATGTTATGAGAAAGTTGTTCGTTATAGTCAGTGACACTGGCGTCTCAGAAGAAAAAATACAAGAACTCTCTGTGACCTTCTGGTTACTAATTAGCTTGTGAGCAAGCTCTCTGTGGCACTCTGGCAGCGGGGCAGGAAAAGGGAGGAAAGCTTGCAACTATGTCTCTGAAATTTGAAATCCACCTACAATTCCCCTGTGACTCCCCGCGACTGAGCTGTCAGGTTCCGCCATTCAGCACTAATGTAAACAAACATTGAAAAACATGTGCCAAGGGTGATGACATCATTACTAATGTGATCTCCGCCAATCAGCATTACACATAGACTTTCTCAATGCAGATATTCAAATTCCACTCCTTCCTTTTCCCTTTTTTTTGAATGACATTGAACACATATTTAAACAGGTTTAGACCTGTGAAACGTTTGAACGGTGCCATGTCGTGAAATGCCTGGAACATTTCGACAGCATTGTTCCCAGTCTTGCGTGTATTCTGACAAAGCAACATGGCATTCACAGTGGAAAAATACCTCTTGGAAACCTCTGGAAATGGCGTTTCCGAGACTCTAAATTCCAAAACGTTCCTAGATGCCTCAGCCCTAAAAAACTTGTGCCTTTGGTGCGAGCTCCAAAGCCGGCTACTATTCATCATCAGCCTGCCACTTAAAAGCTTTTTGACAGCCCTGTGACAGCCGTTAAAGCAAACTGTCGCATCAAAGGTAAGTTGTTTATATGTTTTTGATCGGCGATTTCGTTTTTCTCAACTTTCAGCCATATTTCTCTTGCTTCCACAAATTATTCTTAAAGTCTAAAAATTCTTGCAAAGAATATTTTGTTGAGCAAAATAAATGTTTTGTGGCAAAACATGCCATGTTTGCACCCAATTATAACATGTTTTTTCCTCACGTGAACATGCTTAGACGCAACTGACACTAGGTTCATATAACAATGTTTATGTTTGCATTTCAAAAATGAAAGGAATTAAGCAGTAGTATTTGTCTCACCGGTTCTGTAAGAGTGGGGTCTTTTTCCAAGAATTGTACAATGCAATAAGCCAGCTGAAGAGAGAGAGAGCAAATTGATGATGACAAAATGACTACAATAAATTTATTATAACTTGCCAATACACCTTCATGCATGGTTTTCAAAGGCAACAATAATAATTTATTTAATGGGAAGTGACTTACACGAAAAGATCAAAGGTGTCATTACAGTGTACAAAATCCAAGTGTAGGTAAGTAGGTAATACTCTATTTAAAAATTCAAATTACAAGAGAAACACGCTAGCCCCAACAAACTCGGCTGGTTTCCACGGAGGGTGTGTTGACACAAAAAAATCTTGTATTAAATTGCTAAACTAATACCAAAATTTCTTATAATTCTACCTCTGTTGCTACACAGAAAGTCATAAATAGTTCGTGACTATTAGGATACACAGGTTGGCAAGACCCAACTATGATCTAATAAGCTTCTTCAATGAAGAGATTGACGAGTTTTCGGCAAGTTTTGCTTTATTCAAGAGCTGTTTCCAAAGCATAGCAACACTAAATTTAAAACTTCTTTTTAGAAACTCTCTTTTCGGTTTAGAAAGTGTCAGATCAGTAGCCGTGTCACGTAGATGGTAATTAGTCTGATTAACATTCCTTCTCACAAAAGAGTTCCTTGGGACAAGGGCAATGTGGTCATTCAATATTTTGTACATTAAAACTGACTTTGCATAGCGTCGTCTATCATCAAGTGTTTGCCACGGAAGAGAGTCAAACGTGTAAAAAAGTAACAGCAAAGATCAATTGAGAAATCAATACAACCAAACAACTGCATTCTCAATATTATTGAAAAGCAACATATATGAGGCATAACTGTTTTGCTAGTAACATTTCACATCTTAGAAGATGCACATAGTTGAAGACATAACTACAAAAAAATTCCTGTGGATGAAAAATTCTAATAAATGCAAGATATGTTATGAAGAAAGATTACAGGTGTAATTTTCGTTCATCAGGAGTGCCAGTAAGTGAAGGATTGTGGAAAATTTACATTTATACGCCAAGTTTTCTACAGAAAAAACTTGAGAGAACCATGGACCATGAGCTGGTTAACATTTTAAGGCCAATACTTGGCTCTGAGGCTTAAGGAGGAAAAACGGCAGAAGAAATGAATGAGAATTTCTTCTCAATGTCTTCTATGTTTTTCCCCTAAGCCTCAGAGCCAAGTATTTATTTCAAAATATCAAAATTGTTAGGTTGACTTTTGGCGGGAAATCGCAGCGGTCGGACGTGTATTCATCGTGTCTGCCTAACATTGCCAAAGATGACCCCTCTCTGGCACCTACTCCTATGAAAATACACTATCTGGCTCCCTGACGATGTAATCTACCTTCTTCAATGTAAATGCCTCCCAGAAAGAATAAAAGAGGTGATCGTGGCTCAACCGAAGACGAACCAAGAAATCCGAAGAAATCCAACATGGCGGCCGAGGAAAACATTGATGTTGAAGAATCGATTGAAGCGGGCAAGGAACAAGAAGAGCCTAGCCTTCTTGAAATCAAGGCTCTACTGGTCGACATACAAATCCAAATAGCTGCAGTTCTTAGCGAAAATCGAACGCTGAAGAAGGAAATCGAAGAATTAAAAGAATCTGCCAACTTCTACGAGAAGGAGCTTAAAGATTTGAAAGAGTCCTTGCAAAAGACCAAGGACGAATACAAAGAATTAAAACACATGCTAGCCTCAACAAGGAACGAGCTTAAAACAACAAAGGAGAATCTAGAAAAGCAAAAAGAAGAATCCGATCGACTGTGGGAACACCATGATGATTTGGAACAATACACTCGGAAGAACTCGCTGGAAATCCATGGAATTCCAGAAGATGCGTATCCCAGTACGGAGGCCGCGGTCATCAAGGTTGCTGAAGCCCTAAATATCACCATAGAGCCTGAAGAAATAGAGATTTCACACAAGCTGAATCGGGGCAAATCCATTATAGTGAAATTTTGCAATCATAAAGTGAAATCGAAACTTTACAAAGAACGCACCAAACTAAAGGATGTCAAAATCAAAGATCTATTTCCCAGCTACCCTTCAAATGCACAGGAACGACAACGTATTTTTATAAACGAGAACCTCACGGCTTATAGGCGTAGAATCATGAAAGAAGCGAACAAGAGAAGACAAGAGGGTACTCTACTCAGTGTTTGGTCTTTGGATGGTAAGATTTTGTTAAGACATCACCCTATGGCTCCCCTGTTAGAATTTTTTTCCGAAGAGGACTTAGATCAATTATAAACTGAACAGGCAAAATAATCTACGTTAAGTCTGGAGAGGGACGTCTTATCAACCATTCAAATTTCTCGCTGCCAAAGTAATTTAATTTTACTAACTACAAATTTGTCTATGCTCTGTTTTTTGTTTTTGCGCTACTCTTTTTTATTTATTCAAAGTGTTATTTTGTTTAATTTACCTTTTGTGATCATTTGCTTCAGTCTAATATTATATGCACGTTTTAGTCTTCATTATTTGTTTAAAATATCGAGTACCTTTTTTGCATCAATCATTTTACACCTAATAGAAAGAATGCAAATCCTTTATTGAGGCGCACATGTTTTTTCCCGTCGAGACAACGTTTATTACAAAAGACTTGAACAAATCGTGACTTTGAAAATAACTTCATTGAATGTCAGGGGACTTAGGGATGACGCTAAAAAGAAGAGAAGTATTTAATTGGCTTCGCGCCAAAAGGCCATCAATATGCATGCTCCAAGAAGTACACTGTATAGAAAAAACAAATCACTTGTGGAAAGCAGAATGGGGCTATCAAGCTTACTTCACCTCTTTTGAAAGCAACAAAGCAGGGGTATGTATTCTTTTAACAATAATTTTAACCTTCAGCTCCAAAGACTTTACACCGACCCTGCAGGGAGATTTATTATCTGTGACTTAAAAGCTAACGAAAAGCTTTTGACCCTCGCTAACATCTATGCTCCCAACGAGGATAAACCTTCATTCTTTCAAAACTTTTACGATCATCTTTTAAATTTTAAATGTGAAGACATAATAATTGGCGGTGACTTCAACCTTGTTCTTAACATCGAAAATGACAAAAAAAAGGTGGCATTGCCAAAACTCACCAAAATAGCTTGAAGACCGTTCAAGAAATTTCAGAGAACCTAGATCTTCTCGATGTCTGGAGAATTCACAATCCAGATGACAAAAGGTACACTTGGAGACAACGACAACCTAAGGTTTACTGTAGACTTGATTTCTTTTTAATAAGCCAAAGCGTTATTGGGGACGTCACTAACACCGATATAGTGCCAGGATATAAAACAGACCATTCCATGATTACTTTAGATCTGTCTCTTCATGCAAATAGCAGAGGACCCGGCCTTTGGAAATTAAATACCTCTCTTTTAACCGAAACTGCTTATGTTAATCTTATTAAGACAACGATTAAGGAAGTTCAAGACGAATATGAAAACGATGACATGGTAAACTCTGCTCTATTGTGGGACATGATTAAGCTTAAAATACGGGAAAAATCGCTCCAATACGCAATGAATAAAACTAAGAAAACAAAGGGCCGTGAGGCAGAACTAGAGCATGCAATTTCCAAACTAGAATCGAAAATGGAGAACGGAGACTCTAGCGTAACAGAAAATTCTGAACTTGCAGAACAACTGAATGATCTAAAGAGCGAGTTAGAAAGAATTATTGAGACTCGTACGAAAGGTTCCATATTGAGAGCTAAAATTAAATGGCATAATGAAGGAGAAAAAAAAACGAAATATTTCCTCAACCTAGAAAAGAGACACTATAAAGCAAGGCATTATAAGCCAACTTAAAGTGGACGAAAATAACTTTATTACTTCGGATCAGGAAATATTAGCAGAAGGGGAATCTTTTTTATGAATCTATATACATCCAACAGAAATATACACAATTTAATTGACACATATGATTTTTTTAAACATGAAAACGACACCGTCCTGAATGACGAACAACGGAACAACTGTGAAGGCCTGCTAACAGAAAGGGAATGCCTTGCAGCCCTGAAAACCATGGAACAGGGAAAAACCCCTGGATCTGATGGGCTACCTGCAGAATTTTATAGAGTATTTTGGACAAACATATCAAACTTATTGATTAACGCTCTTAATTATGCGCACGAAACGAGTCAGCTTTCCATCACACAAAGAAGAGGAGTAATCAAACTCATTCCCAAGAAAGACGCTGAGCCGTATTTCATTAAAAACTGGAGACCGCTTACTCTTCTCAACTGCGACTACAAAATTGCAGCAAAGGCTGTGGCTAACAGGCTGAAAAAGGTTCTTCCCGATCTCATCAGCTGTGATCAAACTGGCTTTATGAAAGGCAGGTTTATTGGCGAGAACATACGATTAATAGACTATGTTATTCGTTTTACCAAAGAAAAAAATATCCCAGGGCTATTATTATTTCTTGATTTCGAAAAGGCTTTTGACACGATTGAATGGCCTTTTATCATAAATTCTCTTCAATACTTCGGTTTCGGCCCAAGTGTTGGTAATAGTTACGAAAGCTTTTCGACAAAACTAATGAAAGCCCAAAAAGCAAGCAAGTTGGTGTATGACAAATTAATTACAAAGAAAAGTGCCCCCCCTACTACAAGCCAGCAAAAATGGAATCAAGACTGCAACTTAGGTCAAAATGAAATAACGTGGGGTGCGACCTACCAGCTAGCTCATAAAATCACAAAAAGCATAAAACTCAGGGAATTTCAATTTAAATTGCTGCACAGAAGAATACCAACAAACGCTTTCTTAACTAAGATAAGAGTAAAAGAAAACTCCAACTGCTCCTTTTGTAAAAAAGAACCAGAAAAACTCGTACACCTTTTCTGGTCCTGCCCCAAAACGGCGCTCTTCTGGGAGAGCATCATAACGCGATTAAAACTTTGCCAAATTATTCCCGAGTTACTCTGCAGACATGACTGTTTCACTAGGCCTGAGATCAGACTCTTCTAAACTTCAACGCCAGATCAACTTTTGTTTTCTTATTGCCAGGCACTATATCTGGCTCTGCAAAACAAAAGAAGCTATACCTCTATTGCAAGGATTTCTCAAACACCTAAAGACAATTTACAACATACAAGCACAAGCAGAAGCAAACAATGTTCTGCCCAAACAATGGTCATTCCTACACGACATCACGTAGAAACTATCGTTTCTACCATGGCGCTATTCCCAACGCCCCTGATATTCTCTATGTCTTTCATCCGTAGCTTATCCTGCCTCAATAACGCCAACTATCCTTAAATAAGTTTCTTCCGATGCAACTGTGTACTTGAAGCATACGAAATGTAATAATGTTTGAAAACAGTAGTATTGTTAGCAATGTAAGCAATAAGTATTGTCAGTATTGTAAGTATGGTATGAATGTTGTAAATAATGTAAGCAGTGTAAGCAGTGTTCAATATTGTAATTATTGGGTTAAGTAAAGCAAATAAAAAAAAAAAAAAAAAAAAAAAAAAAAAAAAAAAAAAAAAAAAAAAAAAAAAAAAAAAAAATTGTTAGGTTGAGTCATACCTGAGGATGGTACATGCTGAGTGCCTTAACTTTGTGTAGTGGCATCAGAACTTTCATGAGAAAGTGTTTATGTTCCTCTTTGAGAGGCAGTGCAAAGCCATTGATTATGCTGCAAGAAAACAATATATATATTAATTATATGTTTTAATGTTGTTACAATATGCAAAATTTGTTTAAATTTAGTAGTCTTTTAACCTTACATGTTATGATATATACCACATTTCCTCGAATAACAGCTGGGGCCGATTATCATTATTTTTGCACAAAAAGGGGACGATATATTTACAAAATGACTTAAACTCACTGTCTGGATTTACTATACTGTGCAAGGTGGTTGTAGAAATCATTTTCAACCCATAAGTAACCTTGAATAGGAATCTTTAAAAAAAATTACACATACCTTCCTAAAATTTCTAGTAGCTCTGCAATCCCATTATGGTGTTCTGTTTCATATATAAATCTGCAAAAGAATTTTTCAAACAATATTTTTCATCTTACATTGAAAGGAAGCACTGAGCATTCACAGCCAAACTACTGGTACATGTAACTGCCTTGTGCAATGATGATAAATTGCAAGTATGTGCACATCATGTTTGCACATGGAATTGGATTTTTTATCATCAGTCAACTGGGAAGACTTGTACATGGGCGAGAAGAGAACATTTACCTGTAAAATATATTATTTATTTGTTTCCTGATATAAGCTCTGAGTCCCAGAAACTTGCCATATATTCTGTGAATTACTGTCTTGAGGAAATCTCTTTCTCTTGGATCTTCACTATCAAACAGGTCAAGAAGCTGTATAACAACAAAGAGACCTACATTTTTGTAACAATCAACAAACTTTAACAACTGCAACAGCAAACAGCTGCCAACTAGCAAGTACCACTTTTGAGTGTCACAGGTATAGCCCCAGCCCTTCTAATGTACATTGTACTACAGTCTCTGGGATGCTAAGCAAGTGTCGCTCTATGCTCATTTAGAAGGAGGTATATAGTGAAAACCAGCAAGTAAGAACCAGCATTTTCCCAAGTTAGCCTTACCAGGTTCTTACATATATGGTAATTAACACAAATTTAGGCTATTTATGTTCTTAAATAATAATATTATGTTCTAATTTTTTGCAGAAAAAAATACACTGAAGTTAAGAGTACACTTTATTTAGATGTATATTCAGCTTATTCCTTATATAAACTCTGCAAACAGTCTTCTACTGTAATCCCTGTCTTATAAGTCTCAAGATTAGAACTATTAATTGTGGGATACTATTTTTTCCAATAAAAACTTTAAAACATAAGCCATGGTTACGACATGCTTGGCATTAGGCCTGGTTGACAATGTGACAATCATCAAAGTAACCACTGACAGATAATAGAGATACTAATCCATAAAAGCATAAGAGATGAAAAAATAGTAAAAGTTGCTGTGAGCCACCTTAAGATACTGTGGTATACAGACATAATGTGTGGTCTACACATTCAATGCAAGCATGAGAAAAAGCACCATTTGCCGTCAAATTTTAAAAATTTTGTCACAGTAGGGTACTAATACTTTACATGCTTCCTCTACATATATGTTGCTTGCTGTTATGCTTAATAATCTCAGCCATTGTGCCCTACAATGTACGACAACTTATCTACTTGTGACTTCCCAAAGCTCAAGACTAGAAATGCGTGTCTGCAACTCCTACTTCTACTGCTGAATTTGTGAACTAGTCTTAATGGTGATGACAGTAACACATTTAACCCACTCACTGTATTACCTGCATAACAAATTTTTGATCAACAAACTTCTTTGCCACAGCAGGCTGAAAATCCTGACACTCCAAGAACCTCAAGAATAATTCATACACAATCTAAATGATAAATACAACATATTATTAAACATCAGTAATGCAGCCTCTAGGGCAACAACAGGGATCACAGAAACATGCCATTTTATCTTAGTAAAATCCAACTAGTGGTCTATTATCAATGCTGCATTCTGATTGGTTGAGCTACTACTAGGCTATATGTTATAGCCCACTAGTAGTGAAAAGCCCTGGCTTTGAAACCCAAAACAATGGCGGCTGAATTGTGTTGTACCAACTAAAGTTGTTTTGTCTCGATATTTTTGACCAACTAGTATTTTTGATCAACAGGAGCTGTGCTACTCATAGTCACACATTACAAGCTAAATCATCACCAACAGCAGATGAAGACCAGTGATAAGCAGTCAAAACGTTGTGATTAATAACAAAGTGACTCTTCTAAGACAAACAATAGGGGAGCCCTATCACTGGAGCTGTTTTGATTGCTAGGACAGGGCTCGAAATTAAAAAAATTCTCAGGTCGCCTTTTGGCAACCAACCTGAGAAATGTGGTCGCCGAATGTAAAATTTTTAGTCTCCAGTTTGTATAATGTAAATGATGCAGCTCATAGTATGGCACGATCCATCAGATTTGATTGTTTGAAAATATCGCAGACAGAGGATGGTATAAATTTGGAGGTAAACTGGCTTTGTTTATGTGATTTGGCACCATTTTTTATGACAAAAGCAAACCAAGGTAAGATGAAATGTTTTTTCAACTTTACTCTTTTAATTTAAATCTAAATCCAAGAGAAATCTGGTCACCAAAGGGGTGACTAAGCCAGTGAATTTTTAGCTGCCAAGGAGAAAATGTTAGTTGAATTGGTGACCATATCAGTCGCAATTTCAAGCCCTGTAGGAGAGGGTAAGGTCACCCCAAAGTTCATCAGATATCAACAGTAAAAATTTTCCAACCTGAAGGTGCGGCCAAGCTGCTTCTAAGTTTGGTTCATCTTCTTCTGGATCAAACTCAGCACCATTAGGATTGGATGGTGGAGGAAGAGTCCTGAAAGTGTTAACTGCAAACTGTTGAACAAAATAAATCCAGAGTTTCAGCAACACCTTGGCTTAATTACTGGTAGCAGTCAACTGTATGCCACTAAAAATCTGAAAGAGTGCATGTACTAAGGCTCTAAGACTCCTCATCTCATATCAAATTCTCATTTTGATTAACAAGGAAGTACAAGGTAAGTGGAAAGAGAATCTAGAATTTAATCAGGGCTTCATTCCTGGCAACCTTTCAATAGTCAACTTATGCGACAGGATGGGAAAGGAAAGAAGACAGCAAAACCTTAAGTATGAAAGAATTTTCCATAAAAATTCACCTTCCTTTTAAGAGGTCTTTTTGTTAAAGTCAGGAACATAGTGATGTTAAGTGAAGATCATGACAAAACATACAAGCAAGAGCCCTGTCACATTTGTCACACACAAACGTTTTGCAATGCTGTCCTCTTCTTTCAGCCATCCTGTTGCGTAAGCTCATAAATGTGGTAACACCACAACTGGAAATTAAATAAAATCTAGGAGAGACCCTGACGCTAAATCATGTTCACTCTGAAGGAAACAACGATATTAAGTTTAAATACAGTGTACCTTAAATTGAATCAAAAGGTCTGTGAATCATTCCACCAGGGCTGTCTTTAAGAGGTGGGGGCCGGGGATTTCCCCCCAGCTACTCTGAGCATGATTCCCCGCTACTTTCATAGGAAAATACAAGAAAAATAGAACCAAACAAAATCCCTAGCTGTTTGATTCCCCGCCTACTTGTTGTATTTACCCCGCAACTTGAAATCTTAGTGACAACCCTGTTCCATCCAGCTAGTTACTAAGGAGAATGATGGTTTCTTACCATGTGGGCCACTTCAAGATAGATAGGATCTGTGACTACACCTCTGTTGTGTGTTATAAAGTCAACAATCTCATTAAGTGCAGCTCGTTTAACTTCCTTAAATTTGAGATCACTTAGTGGATCCATGGCAAAATCAAACAAAATGCAACACTGTTGAATTTTCTGGACGAAAAGCTGCTCTCTTTCGTTTGGTGGTGCATCTGAAACAAGCAAGAAAAAGGTCATGCTTAGGTCAGTCTGTCTCTTATGGATGTTTTATTGACTTTGAATTTCGGATGATGAAGGCTGCTCAGGTTTACAGCTATTGGTTCCATTCATCTCCCCTTTCCTTGCATCTATACGGATTTTGGTAGGGTTCCATAACTAGCACTTCTCCTACGGTGTTCCTAATCACATGCAACCCCTTAGGCAGAATGGTTGCATGGTACTATTCAAGGCTACTGATATTTCGCGTGGTAGCGGAGCCGCCAAATTCAGGTAAATCCACTAAATCCCGCGAAATTCACAAAAACACGAAAAATAACGCAAAATTCGGTAGAAATCTTGTCAAATACATGTCTGTACAACATAATTATTTGAACCTTATTTCAGCTATTGGGCTATTTACTTGCTGTAAACTTACAAATTTATCTCAGAACTTCGTCACTGAAACGTGCAAACAACGTCCCAAAACTACCAGGCGTACATTATGTTGCGAAAAACTGGGCACTAGCCATGATGTTAAAGGCTTTGCCATTAATTCATTTCTGGAGCGTATTGTTATTGAAAGAGCAAAATTTGCTCTTTCAATAACAATACGCTCCATTTTTCTGACAGAGGTCATCATTTAATGATGACCTCTGTCAGAAAAATGTTAAAAAAGCTGGTCTGATCAGTGCAAAACCGATCGATTCCTAGCGAAATTTGCCACAAAATCAGCCATTTTTTACCGATTGCTTTTTGGTGAAGTTTACCCCAAAAACTCCAGAAAATTCCCGCGAAATCGTCAGATTTTTCCACGAATTTGTCCCGAAAAATCCCGCAAAATTTGACTTTTTCTTCCGTGACCTATCAGAAGCCCTGATTATTACGTTTATTTCTTTGGATTTTACAAAAAGAAATCCATTTTTTGCTGTGAATTGGGACATTCACATTAGGAGTGAAAAACTTAGAAGCTTAGTAGAGCTTAATTAAACAGTAAGTTTTGTTGTGTAAAGCATTTTACTGGTAATGGAAAACATTTTATATCTTATACAAAATCTGCTGCTGGCTAGGCCACCAAATCCATTTCACATATTAACAAAACACTAGACTTCTTAAGCCACATAGGGTTAATTGACATGATGCATAGTCTATTACCATTTCCTCCCAAATCTTTGAAATAAGCTGGACACGCAAGGAGAAAATTTTGACAGCTATACTGCATTACACTGAAAGGCATGAAATAACTAGTCTTTCAATGCTCAAGATATTATGACAAAAACTAACCAGAAGATTAAGGAATACCATTTGGAAAGTAAACTACATGACACACCTGCTGACTTTTTCTTAATCTGTATTTAAATGCAAATGAAGAATCAGCGAAAATTAAGGTTGCTGTCCACTTAAGTGAGCTAGCTGATGCACAAGCCAAACCAAAAATTTACAAACGACATTATTTTAATGAATGTTTTGGTCAAAACATTTACTTGCATAAAATGTAGCAGGTAAAGGCTATTTTTTATCTTTGTCTTCTCAAACTCATTAATAATTCATAAAAATATTACAAGGGAAATTAATGTTTAATGAGTGTTTGGAAATCAGGTGAAGAACTGCTCATTTTTTCATCCTTAATTTCTCCTCCTAAAATCATTTTGTTTGAGAAGTAATATCAAGCATTTGACACAGTATTTCATCGTCAGAAGAAACACCTCGAAATTCGTCAAAATACTCTGCTGCGCATCGTATTTTCAACTCTCTTCTCCGTGTTTCATCTGGTGATGAAACACTGCCTCTCATGCTTGATATATTAAGTGAACAATTAAGAAATCCCTAGGTTCACCAATAATGAAGGAAATGTTGAAAACCGCTGACATTTGGCAATTAAGTAAAAAATTGTTGGAAGATGAAGTGTCCAGTCACTGTAATTTAGGTCATTAACTTATTGAACTAATCAAATTAATGTAACTTATGATTTTGTCACAAAATGTTTATAAATGGGGGTAGCATTGATGTGATGGACAGATCAAAAGGAATTTTGTAGGAACAGTAAAATCTATTTACAACCTTGTCCAGTATATCAGTGGTTTACAAAAGCGCACCATATCCGTAAACGGTGGATAATCAACAAATTACTATTAGCCAAAGACCAGTATTTGTAAAGACTGAAATAAATATTGTTTAGCATAATAATTTTAGAGTTGAGGGAGGAAGAAATCATAAGCAACTAGTAACAGTTACTGCAACCTTATTACCACTTAAAGGTTAGGGATTCAAATGAGATTTACTTGAACCATGCTATGAAGAGAACAGAGGGTCTTAGAATAAAAATCTTTTCAGCTATTAAAACTAAAAGTGTTGTTTATCTTGCCTTGGTTTGGTGTAGAAATTTCACATAATCTTTCGGTCACCCTCAATCAAAATAACCTACCATATCGCAGTTTTGGCATATAAGATCAAAGAAATATCATTTCCAACTATGGGGTAGCAATGTCAATAAATCTGATATATTAAAATGTTTACTATACTAGCTAGCCCAATGGTGTTTACTATATCATTTTATCTCCGACAGCAACAGTATTCCTCAGCTCAAAGACTGATTTGAGATATGGCTAAAAAGAGGGGCAACTAACTGTATAAACCGTAATCATAGCCAGTACTGATCGAATGGTAAACAAAGCCGCGAGAAAAACACTTTGCTCGCTGAACTCCCCGTGGCGAAATTGTACTAAACTGGTTATGAGCGCAGTGTGCGACCAACTTTCCCGACAACAGGCAAATTGGAAGAGCATTAACATGTTTTATCACAGCAACGTCGATTTTATTTGGTATACTCAAACGAGAAAATCGAAGTTGCTTGAAATCTCACCTTTCAACGGAGGTAACTTCACTATCTCTCGATTGTCACTAACGTTAAACGATGAAGAACTCTGTCGTTTCTCTTTCCTCATAATTGACGGGCCATTTGCATATTGCCTTAGTTTGACAGCTTGACTCGGTGGATGTGAGACGGGTTGAGATTTCGATTTTGCCTAAGGTGGAGAAGAAAAACAAAGTAAGCTTAACCTTGAATGTAATTCTGCGTCACAAAAATTAAGTTCCGCTGGAACCCACCCCAGTAAACAATATCCAATCGAAATTGTGATTCAATCGACTGAAACCGCGACGGATTTCTCTATTCTTACGCAAAATAATCATACGACTCACCTCGTCAGTCACAGCATCTCCGTTTTCTTTATTTGCCTGTTTGGCACTTCCCCCAGATTTCGAAATCTGCTGTTTACACCCAAGAAATGCAAAAGAGTAAAATCAATCTGTCACTGCTGATCGAAATGTTTTGACTTTCGCCTTCGTGCACAAGTTACCGAAAGAATAAACGATTTTTTATGCGTCTGGACTACCATACCTTATCTTTTTTTCCTTTGTTTGGCATTCTCGTGATCCATTTACCCTACGTAAACGGAAAACATGACGGAAAAATCACAAAATTCGCAGTTACGAAGTTAAAAGCCTGTAAAGATTGAAATCATTCCGAGCGGCAGTCAGATGTACTTTGATTGGCTGATATTTTCTATGGCATTCAGTTAGTCACGTGGATTTTTCTTTGATGAAAGCGCGGGAATGTTATTTGTAACTTTCTTGTTGTTACTGATATTATGTTTGCTTATCTTTTCTTAAACAGGAAAGTTTTAGTATCGGCCCGTGTCCCTGCCCTTCTTGCCCTTTAGAGTCACAAGTGTTTGGGAGGGCTTCAAGTGTTCCAAAAATAAACTATAAAAACTACAGTTTTACGGCCTGGCATAAGAGTTCTGGACTTTCCGAACAAGTCGATATCTTGTTTCACCTTAATAGTTTTTATTTTGCCACTGTTTTGCACACACTTTAAAAACCAACAACGGGAGTTGTCTATTCTGTTGATCAGTTGGCCACTTATCGACCAAGTTGACTTTGTTCAAGCTTTAAATAAGTTTTGTTTGTTGTATCCTCAGAAAACTGATTTCCACGGGGTGTTTGTTGTTCTTTCTTTGAATTTTTCAAAGTAGGTAACCCATACACATAAATTGTGTGACCGTTGTAATGTTTTAAATTTAGAGGAAATGTAAGGAAATATCGAAGAGGTTCTTATTATCGTGAATATAATGCGATGAATCCTTATAGTTAAGATTAAAATCGACATCGGTCTTGCAGCTGAAAACAGCGAATTATTTTGTAGAGAATGTGTATAATAAAGAGACACTCAGGTAAACGTCGAATGTAAAACCCTTCAAATCGCTATAATTCGTCGTTTTCAGCTGCAAGAACGACAATGTTGTTACATTCAATTTCCAAGTTGAGTATAAGTGTAGTTCCGTGTTGTCACTGAGTCTTCGTGTTTCTGAGTGGACCGTAGGGCGAATAAAGAGACCACTCCACACCGGCCATGGGTCAAGTGGTAGCTTATAAAGAGGTTAAAAACAATGGGAAAATATTAAACCGCCGGTCCAAAAATTCGTCGTGGTCGCTTATGAGGGTTGGTAGTTTATGAGAGGTTCCAGTTATAGGGCTTTAACTGGGAACATTTTGGTGTTTTGGATGAGCGGTCGCTTATGGGAGGTGATCGCACATGGAGATTTGCACGAAAAACATTCATTTTGCCGGAAATTATCTCCGTAACCATGGTAATTTTGTAATTTCACATGTGAAATTCTAAATTAAGGCTGAAATTTTGCGCCAAAATTAAGGAGTCAGTCATGATATTAAGAATCTATCCTTGGAATTCTCCAAGCAAAACTCACCCTTTATTTCATTTTATCAGTTTTATTACCATTTCTCACCAAGAGCCATAATGTTCTCACTTAACCTTCAAAATGTTTCACAGCAGCGGACATCCCTTTCGACAAAAAAAGACTTTTTGACAAGAAATACAGGAGCCGCTGTGCGGAATATTAGCAACACCGTGAATGATATGCAAAAGTTCAGTGCATGAAAAATTTTCAGCTAAATACAAAACAAGCTGTCAAGATCGTCGTAACAAAAAAATTCCCGTTTCGAGTCATCGTCATTTAATCGATATTGCACTCTAGATAACATCGCTAAGGGCCAAGAGATAATACTCTTGAAAGGACTTAGGCACCCTAACCTGCGTCGTAGACTGAACTCAACCCCGGTTAGTAACGTCTGCGAAGCTAGAAGTCAACGGTTGCCGAAAGCTTGTCAAAGATTTTGCCTGCCTTATATCAGAGGATAAATTGTTCCACGGAACAGCCCTACTTCAGGCTCTGATCTCTCACAATTGGAGCGGGATTGACAGGCCAATCAGTCGGCTTTCCCTCCCGATCCTCTCAATAGCCCGTTCCAGGCTCCGAGACAGTCGGGTCCGTTAAATTTCGAAAGCGCGAAGTACAAAACTAAAACGGGAGGAAACTGGTTCATATTTCCGCGTTCCCTTCAGTTGTGCGTCATCCCTACTATCTGCCGAACCTGGAACAGGCCATCTTCTCATAAGTTACTCCATTTTGTTGCCTGTAATTTATAAGTGGGACCTGGATCGATATTCACTTCCTGTGTCTAGATGACGAATTATCAATGACGCAATATTATTACGGTAACCTTTCCCCTTCCCGTAGACAAAAGACACGAAAGAACAAAGATATTCTTAGGACCAAGCAAGCCATAATTCACAACCTCGTCCCCAGGGCGCTTTTCCCTGGCTTTGGGGGCGGGGCGGGAAAAGCCAGGGAAAAGCACTCTGGGGACGAGGTTGCATAATTCAGGTAAAGTTTCGGGCAGAAAAAAACTTAAAAACATGCAGAATATTTACGTTGCCGGATCCAGGCCTTGAGATAAGGCGGGGTTCGGTCATCCATACCCTTAGAAAAGGAGGAAGGCAGTCTCCAAAAAAATTTTTTTCTACCCTTTGGGCCTCAGTTTGGTCTAGAAATAAGAGGGGGACCCAGGTCCCCCGGGCCCCTCCCCTGGATCCGCAACTGATTTAAGCTGTACCTCTTTTAGAAAAAGTGTACAAATTAAGCTCGTTTTCCCAAATTATGCCAAAAAATATGATAGCAAAAATCGACTAAGGCCTCTAGGCAGCGCTATAGCGAGAACAATCACGAGAACGCGAAGGCACATAATTAAGAAGGCTTAATGTGAAAAACGAAGCTCTTCTTTTTTCGCTATCCCTAATCCCTATGAGCCCTTTTTCCCGGCGCGACTACTGCAGACAAGTAGACTACGAGTAGTCCCCCATTTTTCCTCAGGGATGGTAGAGCGAGCGAAACGCGAGCGGGCGTTAAAATCACCCCACGCGAGAAAAGGCGACACGCGGCGGGGAGATTTTTCTCACCTGGGGTGATTTTCACGCGCGCTTGCGTTTCACTCGCTCTACTATCCCTGAGGAAAAATGGGGGACTACTCGTAGTCTAGCAGACAAGCATACCGTTGCATATCGTTGCTCGGGTGCATTATGTCAAATTTTGTGTTCATGGGGGCGCTTTACTGAACACTTATCGAGGCGGGGTGCTCGGTTTAAGGGAGGCCTGGTTTAAGTAGCCTGTTCCAGGCTCTCAGATAGTGGGGAAGGCGCGAAAGAGTGGGGAAGACCCGAAAGTGTAAGGCAAGCGAAAATAGGGGCCCTTGTTCGCCCTTTCTCATTTCCGCGGTCCCGACTATCTCGGAGCCTGGAACAGGCTATGCTTAAAGTAATGGAAGGGGGAGCTTAATCGAGAAATGGGGTGTTTCTTGATGTTACAGAAACCAGTGTTTGTTCGTTATTGTGTTGAAGTCTGGGTATTTCCTGAAAGGGCACTAGTTCTATCTAATGCGATAACTACTTGGGCTTGGTTCTGCACTACTGAAAACATAACAGCGATATAGACCGACAGTTGATATATTTGTAACGCTACTTTTGTAATAAAAATGCTTCAACCACCGAAAGATATAAACCCCTCGATGACCTTTCAGCTAATAGCGATACTCAAGCTGACGTCACCTATTGATAATGTGCCAACTAGAAGCGCATTGGTTCTTGAAACAAAACATTCTTTTGTTTCACTCGCTTCAAATTTGAATAACAAAAACAATGTTTGTCAACAATGATCTCTTCTCAGATAACACCGAATCTCAGTAGTGATGGAAATCATGGCTGTATATAAAGCACGAACAAAACAACGCCTGGTGTTCTTTCTTGCCTCTGGCCATACTTGTGAAGACGTGCTTAACATGAGCATGAGAAGAAATTTTAAAAACAAAAGCAAGTTTATGCTTCCGCGCACATCACTTCATGTCCCTTTTTATCGCAAGGCCATTCTCGTCCCCAGAGTCCGTCGTTTTTTTTGACCAAGTGGTCCGTTACAAATTAAGCCGAGTGGCTCTGGGGACGAGAACGACCGCAAGCTGCAAGCGAGAACGTATTATTAATGTCTGGTTATTTTGGAGCTGCTAGTGAGGGCCAGGCTGAGGATTTTATCAAAAGCCTTCCTTGCTTAACCACTAAAACATCGAAATGGATGCAAAAAGAGAGGAGTATCGGAGTTGTTTACTGATTAAGATGCACTAAAAATCCATGCGCAAACAAATAAATTAATATCATAACGGCTCAAATTTGACCAATTGCTGAAGCACCTGACTTATTTAAAAACTATTTCAACATGTCAAATGTAGCAAACGCATATTCAAAAACTACTTTGTTCAAAAACACTGCTGCAGACCCAAGTGTGCTTTAAGGGCCAGTAGAAACGCACGGTAAGTACATAAACTTGCTCCGTGTTTTCAAGTCAACCTGTATAATAAAATGAAGATCTCTAATTATTCATATCAATGTACATATAGGTTGTTAGTGTTAAGTGTGATTGGGTCACTGGCGAGGTCGGCGATGAAAACTGAATTTGTATAGGTAATAGCATGATTTGTAGTGATATTTGGCATAAATACCACGAGTGGTATTTCGAAATTGTTATACGTAATCACCACATCAGAAAAATATCACGATTGGTATTATGCTTTGTTTGTTTATACTATCGTCAAAAATTTTCACATGTAAAATTAAGTATCTCAGTGTTATGTTTAAAAGTAGCCAAAAGAGATAGTGTTATATTTAATAGCCAAGAGATAGCTCGTTCTCTCTTGTAATAGCCTATTCCAGTTTCTAACTATTGATCCAATATATAAGACCACTTTCTTTGATATAGAAGAGTCCAGGTTGTTATTGTATCTGCACATCTAAAGCGGGTTAAAGAAAGCTACAGCAAAGGTTTTTAGCTGATCTCCAGAAAAGACGTTTCCATAGTGGGATATTGAAAGTGGAAATATTCCGTTTCCAAGAAACTTTCACCTCGATGAAGCATTTTACAACCTATGTTTTTGCAAGCGCGAAATCGATATCTTCGATAACAACTAAGACTCGTCCTAATTTTGACTAGGACTGTTTTAACGAAACTGAGACCGATTGTTGGCAGAACCTAAACTTTAA